ACCCTTATAACATTTTTAGTATTTTAAAACCTAGTGTTAGTGTGAGTATTGACCATTTACACTAAACCCGAAAACGCAGTTGATGCTCTTTGACTAATGAACATCAGAATCTTACTGTGAGTTCGCTAAAACATACATGAACTTGGTCCGTCACCGTGAGCTCGTCACACGTCACCACCTCGCTGCCGCTACGTGGCATAAAGTGACGTGACGACGACGTGACGCCCGCGCAGCAGCGGCGCACTCGCAAGGGTGGCCCACGGCCGGTCAACGACCGCGGAAGGAACCCCTTGAAGCGCGCGTGTGTGTGTGTTCGGGACGACGACCGCGTCGATTCGTCGCGCGCGTTTCACGGCCGTGCCAACGCACCCCCGCCCCCCCCCCTCCCCTCCGGCATCGTCTTTGCACAACACGTCGAGTAGGTACGTTACAAAAACAATACGCCAAAAGGGACGACGACTTCTATTATCCGGCGGACAAAGGCCGGCCTGCGACTGTTGGCAAACACGGGGCGTGGGAGGAGAGGACCCACCCGAGGGTGCACTGACTCCACAAAGGGGTGGCAGCAGCAGCAGCGGGTCCAGCAGCGCCACATCTCCAGGATGCCGACGGGGAGGCTGCGGGCGCGGCGCGCGCGCCCCGTCACCGCTGGGCGCTCCAGCAACCTGCTGCGCTGCCCGGGGGAGAATGGGAAGGGAAAGGAGAGAGGGTTGCTGGACGCCAGCGGCTTCTGGATGGAGAGTCGTGGGAACCAGAGGGGAAGGGCGGCAGCAGGGGCAGGTGGTGAAAGGGGTCGTGTGCGAGAGCGCCGCCGTGTTGACGGAAGAGCACGCGGGGGAGTAAGAATGGGGGGCGCGGAGGGTGGGCAGCCCCACGGGCGGCAGGCCGGAGCAGGCACAGGATGGCGCAAAGCGAGGGAAAAATCACGTCATGACTCGCGCTCGGCCTCCTCGGCTTACCCCGAGGGGGATTACATGAAGCCCGAAGGGAAACCCGGGGCCGGGGACTTTGGGCGGCTAATAGGCTGCCTCCATCCAAACGCGCTCCACACAGACACACACACGCGGCCGGACGGGAAAACCGCATCCTTGGGGTAGGTCGGTGTGCGGTGGGCGGGGTGCGCCCCGGACGGGCATGGCCCGCGCCGCGCCTCGCTCCGCCACGCGGCCGCCGCTGGCCCGGCCTCGTTGGCGACGAGGAGCTGATGGCAATCTCGGGCGGGGCTGCCGCCGACGCCGTCTGAGCCGCGCACTTACGAACACTTACGAACGGGGACGACATCCTCGACGGACACGTCGACGCAAGCACGCGCAATGAGCACTACTACTACTGCCCACCGCCCCGTGTCGTGTCCAGGACGAGGATGAACGGGACGGGGGCGTCAGTCAGGGCGGGCCGACCTAGCCCAGCCCGGGCGTATGTATTACGCCCGGAAACTACTCGGCCGTCAGGGAAAACCAATGGCGGCGGGGCGCGGTGGGGCGGGGTAGGGCGGCCGGGGGAGGACCAGCAGCGCGGCCCGCGCCCGCCCCTTACATGCCACGCAATCAGAGCGGCCCGCCACGCGGCCCTGTCGCCGGCCGCCCCGCGCCTTTACACCCCGCCAAAGTTTAAAAAGCTTCATCAAACTACTATACACGCGTACTTGTTTTTTGTGTGATAATTATGACACTACTTCTCGGGAGGAGCCGCGCCGCGTCTCGACTCCTCACAGGAGGCAGGGGGGCCATAAAACGATGGCAATGACTCAAAAAGCAGCAGCCCCTGAGGCGCGGCGAGCGAGGGAGGAGGAGGGAGGGGTGGGGGGCTGGCCTCGGAGGCCGTCAACCTCTCTGTGCGCTGCTCCACCGAGGCCGGCCGAGGCCAGAGCGGGAAGGACATTAGCGCGGATGGTTTAGCCCTTTGGTGGCTGCAATAAGAGGAGCAGGCGGCCTTCGCCACCGCGCGCCCAAGGACGTGCAGATATCGCTCGCTGCGGGGACAAGAAGAAGAGCGCGGCCGACGCCGCCGTCCTCGAGTAGGCTATCCCGGTTGTGTAGCGCAGGGCGACGACCGCGGTGACACGTGGGGCACACCGGGATGGGGACGTTTTGTATGAGGGGAAACCCTCGGCGATCGCCGAGAAACACCGCCGAAAAAATGCTGGCCCCGTGTCCCGGGTGAAACAAGCGGGAAGTTCAAACCTTCACACATGTGCTAACCCACCCCGCGGTCCACACGACGAGCCCCCCCACCCCCTTCCTCTTCTTCTTCACAGGGTCGGCGACCTGCACCTGAGGCCGTACCGCGCCGGTATGAGGGATGCCCAGGATGACCTTGCCGAGGCCGGGGAGGGACGGACGAAGAGAACAAGACACGTCGAATGACGTGGACAGGGATGAATATTTTTTCTTTGGCGGCACAAGGCACAACAGCCTCATCTCTTTTTTTTTTACCTGGGCGGCTCGGTCGTGCGACAACCTCGCCAATAGTATTTTTATGTAAAAAAAAATTAAAAGAAAAAATATCTCTTGTCCGTGGGTCATTTACAACTCTGTGCGTTGCGAGGCCAACGACCGTCACGACCGTGCCCTCCCGATGGCGTCCTTCGGCGCAATAAAACTCCACGCGCGCGACCTCGGAAATACTGATTCTAATTAATTTTCAAAAATGATGCTCTATTGCCTCCATAAAAGACGTAAATATTGCTGAGCTTCTGTATATGTACAGCAGAGTTGTGCGCACGAGGCAAAATCTTGCCTCGCGCTGCCTCGCGGGTGAGACACCACCTGCCTCGCCTCGCGCTCGCCGCCCGAAGTTCGACGAGACTCGCGCAGACCGGCGAGCCTCGCCAATTTGCGAGGCTGGCCACGACTCGCAGAGCAGAGGTAGGTGAGAGTGGGGGAAGGTGGGTCTGGCGGGCGGGCGAGCGAGTGGCGAGGCGAGCGCGAGGCACGGTGCCTCGCGCACCCGGCGAGGCTCGCAGCGTGCATCGACGAGTGCGGAGAGCGGAGTGGTCACCCTCACCCTCCCTTCCCTTATAACGTCCCGCCGCTTTTCCCTTCCCCTCCCCCCCCCCCCCTCACACCTGCATTGCGGGAGTGCATATCCATTTGTCTGCAGGCGCACAGTTGAACAGAAATGTAAATGTCTATTCAGCGCCACAATATGTGGCAACTATTGCTGCGCCGACAAAAGTACCGCCGTCCGCTGTGGCGTGGCCTAATATCTGCTAGGAACGCCAACTACAAAATGTGCAAAGGTGCTTGCGTTGTGTCTTGTCTGAATGGGTAGGAGTAAAAACGAGAATTTATTTACATACACATGTAATACTTGTTTTATTAGTACCACTAGGTCATATAACAAAAATAGAATCAGTCTCGTCAAAATAAA